GACACATTCTCAATGTGGCCAATCAGAGCTCAGTAAATCATGGGACTAGTTTATCACGCGGAACTTCTTTTCGTGTTGGACTTTTTATTTCACCCAGAAAATGGCGCTGAATTAGGATTTTTTTTTTATGGGGAGGTGGGTGTAGAGGGGGATGGGTTGATTTTATGTACTTGGTTACTCATGGAAAAAAAAGTTTATTTATAGATGAGTTAAAAATAGCTTATCTGACATGTAAGATACGATTCATCTGAGTCCTTTAACAAATATCGGGTTAGGTTAACGCGTAAATCTTTCAATAGTGATGCCAAAAAATTTGAAAGTGATTACTCTTAATAGCCGTGCTTCTTCATCGTTCTTAATTGTTAATTTTGATTGGGAAATCCTCCAACACAATTATGTATTACGGGTCAACATGTAATGCGTTATATAGGCCGTTGACTCTGAATTCAGCGTACTTTTCTTTCTAGATTTGCTTCCATGGCCTTTGTCCAACCAAGAACAAACTACAAGGCAGCAGTTTTTTGATTTTGGAGTTGTCTCTCCTCGATGGGTTGCTGTCCCCAGCTAATAATCACCATCTGCTCGGGGATTCAAACTGGGACTTTTTAGTTTAGCAACCATGAGCTCTACCGGCTCCACCACATAATTGTACTTTCTCGTCTACTTGAATAAACACTGGTTTGATTCTATCTACTTTATCTTTGTAAGGCATTAATATATATATATATAAGCTTATAACTTCCGGGTTAGTTAGCCCTCGTTGTATTAATTGACCAAGCTATCCTGAGATTCTCTCTCTGTATCTATCTGTCTTTCTCTCTCACATACATATACAACCACACACATACATACACCCACCCACACTTTATATCTCACCTTAGCCACCCCCCTCCCAATTAACCTACTTAACCTCTGATTAAGACACCACCACCACTCCCCTCATCCCTAACTACATCTGTCTATTTACTCATCCTACCCCCCCCCCCCCACCCCCATCTACACATGCAAACTGAAATAAGTATAAAGTAAAATCTTCCAATATAACAAAATATTTTTTTTTAAATGTGTTAATCCAACTCATTCCTTCAAGTAAATTCCAGTGTCATCGTGACGACCCCCCCTCTCTCCCCCACCCCCCTTCTGACTGTATGACATGTAATTAACGATACCGACGAGTAGCTCGCTAAGTGGCGCCATTATCTCCCCTTGCTCTTAGTGGAATCGATTGACAACTAGCACCAGTGGATCGATATATGGTACGTTCCGCGGGTATCGATCCTGTCCTATCTCGCCAGTTATCTTTTTATAATCGAATACACGAACAGTAGATGCGGAGGATGATGGATGGAGAGGGAGGGGAGGGGGGGTGTTGGCATTGGTTTTTGTGAAGAAAAGAATTTTAGCATCAAGTATAAGATAATGAAAAGAAATTTGGCGTAGGTTGAGTTTAAAATTTAAACGAACTAACATCGCATTTAAATAATCATTTATTATGTACGTTATTCTCAAAAGATGCAATTTATGCGATTATTCTAGAAATTATGAAGTGTAATAATTTATGTAGAAGATGTAAGATTTCTTTCAATTTGGACGTTCCCGAGGGGTTAATTAAAATTTATGTAGCTCTATCTGGGCTCTTAAGAGTGGTGCTTAAAGTAACGCCAACGCCTAGCACCCACACATACAATGTAGCGGTGCTAAATGTAACGTCCCAGCACCCACACATACAATGTAGCGGTGCTAAATGTAACGTCTCAGCACCCACACATACAATGTAGTGGTACTAAAAGTTATGCCTCACCCCACCACCCATACATACAATGTAGTGGTGCTTGAAGTAATGCCTCACCCCACCACCCACACATACAATGTAGTGGTGCTTGAAGTAATGCCTCACCCCACCACCCACACATACAATGTAGTGGTGCTTGAAGTAATGCCTCACCCCACCACCCACACATACAATGTAGTGGTGCTTGAAGTAATGCCTCACCCCACCACCCACACATACAATGTAGTGGTGCTTGAAGTAATGCCTCACCCCACCACCCACACATACAATGTAGTGGTACTAAAAGTAATGCCTCACCCCACCACCCACACATACAATGTAGTGGTGCTAACGTCCCAGCACCCACACATACAATGTAGCGGTGCTAAATGTAACGTCCCAGCACCCACACATACAATGTAGCGGTGCTAAATGTAACGTCTCAGCACCCACACATACAATGTAGTGGTACTAAAAGTTATGCCTCACCCCACCACCCATACATACAATGTAGTGGTGCTTGAAGTAATGCCTCACCCCACCACCCACACATACAATGTAGTGGTGCTTGAAGTAATGCCTCACCCCACCACCCACACATACAATGTAGTGGTGCTTGAAGTAATGCCTCACCCCACCACCCACACATACAATGTAGTGGTGCTTGAAGTAATGCCTCACCCCACCACCCACACATACAATGTAGTGGTGCTTGAAGTAATGCCTCACCCCACCACCCACACATACAATGTAGTGGTGCTTGAAGTAATGCCTCACCCCACCACCCACACATACAATGTAGTGGTGCTTGAAGTAATGCCTCACCCCACCACCCACACATACAATGTAGTGGTGCTTGAAGTAATGCCTCACCCCACCACCCACACATACAATGTAGTGGTACTAAAAGTAATGCCTCACCCCACCACCCACACATACAATGTAGTGGTGCTAACGTCCCAGCACCTATACATGCAATGTAGTGGTGTTTGAAGTAGTGCCTCACCCCACCACCCACACATACAATGTAGTGGTGTTTGAAGTAATGCCTCACCCCAGCACCCACACAATCAATGTAATGGTGCTAAAAGTAATGCCTCACCCCACCACCCACACATACAGTAGTGGTGCTAAATGTAACGTCCCGGCACTCATACATACAATGTCGCCTATCTCGTTTTTTTCCTACTGGGTATTGACATTGAGTCTTTTAGAAAGTTAGGGTACTGTGTCTTGGTACTGTGTCTTGGTACTGTGTCTTGGTACTGTGTCTTGGTACTGGTTCTCGGTACAGTGCCTTTGTACTGTGTCTTGGTACTGTGTCTTGGTACTGTGTCTTGGTACTGGTTCTCGGTACAGTGCCTTTGTACTGTGTCTTTGTACTGTGTCTTGGTACTGTGTCTTGGTACTGGTTCTCGGTACAGTGCCTTTGTACTGTGTCTTGGTACTGTGTCTTGGTACTGTGTCTTGGTACTGGTTCTCGGTACAGTGCCTTTGTACTGTGTCTTGGTACTGTGTCTTGGTACTGTGTCTTGGTACTGGTTCTCGGTACAGTGCCTTTGTACTGTGTCTTGGTACTGTGTCTTGGTACTGTGTCTTGGTACTGGTTCTCGGTACAGTGCCTTTGTACTGTGTCTTGGTACTGTGTCTTGGTACTGTGTCTTGGTACTGGTTCTCGGTACAGTGCCTTTGTACTGTGTCTTGGTACTGTGTCTTGGTACTGTGTCTTGGTACTGGTTCTCGGTACAGTGCCTTTGTACTGTGTCTTGGTACTGTGTCTTTGTACTGTGTCTTGGTACTGGTTCTCGGTACAGTGCCTTTGTACTGTGTCTTGGTACTGTGTCTTTGTACTGTGTCTTGGTACTGTGTCTTGGTGCTGTGTCTTGGTACTGTGTCTTGGTGGTGTGTCTTGGTACTATGCCTAGGTACTTATTTATTGAACAAAGTCGCCGTTCTGACACTTTGTACTGAGGTTTGGTACTAAAACATGGCACGGAGTCCTCCATGAAACCACTGGACTGTATCGCAGTACTCACTCATAGAATTCAACCATGAGAGTTGATTAAAATTAGCTACCGATTCATGGTGTAGGGACGGGGCACTGATGTAGACTATTCATAGTGTCATCCAGGGGTTTGGTTGGGGGGGGGGGGGGAGTGCGTTCGACAGGAAATGACATCATGTTGTAAGTAAAAGGCTCCGGTAAATCGAGCGCTCCATCCTTCCCGCACTTCTTTAAACGAGAATAAACGTGGCAACTCGACCAGGTCAGAAAACTAATTACTACATTCCTAATTAGTAAATTTTTTACATTTTCATTTGTACGCAAATCAGGACAATCAATAAAAAAACAAATTATCTGAAGGTAATTATTTTAAGTCTGTTAATTTTATAACGAGTTGTCTCCCATTGATTAAAACAGACCACCATCATTTCCATTGGTCTTTTCTAACTTTATATTTAACCCCATCACGACTTTTAAATATTTTTTTAATTTCGTGTAGATCTAATTCCTTTCGCTTAAACCTATTTTTACCTAACCTAACCCGCTCTGCGTTTGTGTCTGAATTTGGTTAATCTACCTCCTCATTAGTCCAACATTCACCAAAAATTCTACCTTTCAAAATCCAAAATTCTGCATCAGTTAACATGGGCAAATGAAAAAAAAAATTCCTCCGCGAACAACTTCGTCACTGATGAGGCATCGAACCATAATTAACTCCTTAATACTCGGCTTGACGGTGAAGGATTCTTTTTAAATCCCTCCGCCGGCCGGGCTAGTTCATTTTTAACTTGATATGGGCGGAAAGGAGAGGGGATTGGAAGGGGTGGCAGCTTAATAGTTTTAAAACGTGTTCCGAGGAATCTGGGATTCCATACAGATTCTACTTCCGGTGGAGACCCGGCCGTAATTACTTTTTTTTTCGGGTACCGAAATGAGAAAAGTGACGAGAGTTAAGTCCCTGTAATCTCTTGCTTCAAAGCAAATCACTTATCTCAATTTCAATCCAATTTTTTTTCTCCAGTAAATCATGATTGTCATGATCGGGATTTTATTTTTTTCTTCAGACGTGCCCGTACTAGTGAAAAAGCGTGGTTTTAGTCTTATTAGAGTCATTCACTGTCCATGGTTATTCGAGTTGTCTCCCTTTTATTAGTTTAAAATGTTTTGTAATTACCTCCCCTTTCCAACTTTTTTTTAGTTACTATTTTTTTTTTTTTTTTGCAGACGAGTCCGGGTGTCTCATCTCACCCAGCCACAGCATCCTGCGCGGGAACACGCCCAAGCACCAGGGAACCTACTCCCGACCCCCATCCTCCGCGTACGACCGACCCCCGTTGCTGATGACGTTTCAGTCCAACTCCTCCGACAACGGCTCCACCAGCGGGGTCGGGAGCTCCGTCTCCAGCCTCGGGACGAGGAAAGAGTACAGCCCCAACCCTTACCCTAACGTCCCCTCCCCGCGGTTGATGAACACCTACGGGAAAGAATACACGGAGCAGGATCGAATCCACGAGACGACGTCGAAAAAATTAATCGACGACGGCTACGGCACGAGCCACAGCGGACAAAAATCTTTCTCCCGCGCGAACGGTTTGTTGAAATCAAACGATCGGCTGACGAATTCTTCTGCCAAATCTCGCGACGCCCGCCTGTGTTCGGAACCGCCAACGACCAACGGAAACCGGGGGATCACCTCCCCTTCCTACAACACCCCTGTTCAAGAAACGGGGCTTACGCCCTCGCCAAGCCCCGTGTCCCCCAGCATGTTGTATATCAACAACACCAAACCTTTGATGCCCGGAAGCGCGGATAGATACAGTTCCAACCACAGCCAGTTCAAATACCCCCCGTCCCCGAGCTTCTTACAAACCACCCCCAGCATCAGCATCAACTCCTTCAAGCAGACTAGCTGCCCGCAGCTTTATAAAAACCCGAATGACCCCCACTCCCAGTCGACCTTGCCCTCCGCCAACCGGTCAAGGTCGTTCAACGTCCACGAGACGACCTTCGGGGTGGTCTCCCCGTCCTTGCAGGACATGCTCAACGAGAGTCTGGAGCCGCAGGACGACGGCAACACCACCACGACGTCCGGGAGCTACACCATCGACCACGACGACGTCAACATGGACCTACCGCAGACGGACGTCTTTGTCTAGTCACGTGACTGCCGTCTGCCCAGCGCGTGTGGACGTTGTGGGCTGGTGGGCTTGTATGTAAATTGGACTCAAGTGTACAGTGGGCTAATGCAGGCACTGGGCTTATGTGTAAATTTAGCTAATGTGAAACTTGGACACACATTGATTGATTATGTAACGTGGGCTAATGAATAAATGGGCTAACGACCTGTGCCCAATCGTTATTGTGTAAATTGGGCTAAAGTATTTGCTAAAGTTTAAAGCGGGCCAATAGTAACATTGACTGACATGTAAAGAAGCCCAATAAGTAAAGCAGAGTGAGGTGTAAAGTGGGCTTATAAATAAAATTGAACCACATGTAAAATGGTCTTATGACTAACATTGACTCATATGTAAAGTGGGCCGATATGTAAAGCAGAATAAAGTGTAAAGATGGCTTATGACTTGCATTGACTCACACGTAAAGTGGGCAATTGTGTTCAGTTTGCTAACATTTAAAATTGGTTTTTGAGTAAAACGGACTCGCATGTCAAACGGGCCAATATGTAAATCGGGCTTTAGTGTAAAGTAGACTGGTTTGTATTATAGACAACACTTGTACCGGCTAGGTGACACACGTAGCTCTAACACCTGTTGGGATAGTCCATTTCTGTTTTACCTGACGTCCAACAATAGACTGTTCCAATCAATAGGGGTGCTGTGTTGTTCTGCATACTAAGCGTACAACAATGGACTGCTCCAGTCAATGGGGGTGTTGTGTTATTCTATCCACTTGGCACACAACAATCGACTACTCTAATCAATCGTGGTGTTGTATTGCTAAAAGTTTGCAGCTTGCTAATTCAAGTACAAACTAATCCTAAACATAACACTAGCCACAACAACAACCATACCCATAACTAGAACCCTAGCCTTAACATTAAAATCCGATAGTTTTTATCATCAGCATGTTTCAAAATCGGAGTTTTCAAAATAACCTCGTCGGCATACAATGAATTCGAGTTAATAGCATGGTACTACGAAAACTTGAGCTGATTTGTTTATCTTTTTTAAGTCTGTGTGTGAAACACAACTCACTACCAGTCCAGCTAAGGTCAGGTTACAGTGTGTACTTAAAGTTCAAGGACACTCCAGAAATACGAGCACAAATTATGATTACGCTGAACCGGATTCGGAAGGGACAGGAACTGGTACCAGGAAGCGTTCGATGATTGGTGTTTATTTTTAAATTAGTAGCCCGAGCGCAGACGATACTTTAAATAAAAAAAAAGGTTTTGGAAATGTTCTGAATAAAGCCATTACCCATTTTGGCTATTGCCCATTTTGAAATTGGATTTCTTCACGTAAAGTTTGAAGATGTTTAACGACTTTTTTTTTCTGAAGATATGTAAATAGTATGAACTGGTGTATATATGGTCACAACCGATCTATAATGTACTTGGTCACTACCGATCTATGATTACAACAGCTCTATGATATACAAGATCAGATCTATGATTTTGATGTACATTCCAACAATTGTTGTAACATTTTACGATGGCTGTGTTGTACAAAAGTTTACACAAAAAATATGTAAGTTTATATGGCTGTTTTCAGCTAGGGACCAAAAAACATATAAGGAAACTGTTCGATAACAGGCTTTGTTTAACTGTACTGTAAAACTATTTACATTTGATTGCTAAACACTAACGAATCACAACTTTATAAATGTATGTGGTTAAACGAGGTAGAAAATATATTCTGTGTACACAAATCAATGAAGTGGTCAAACTCTGTGGAATAAATATTTTGTGACAACTGATGGGCGGGTTCATTAATTAATTTAATTAAAGCTCTATTGTGTTTGTTTGTTTCTATGATTTGACTACCTGGCTTTCTAGCTCTGATTGACGTTGAACATCTAAGATTTATTAAATAATGAGATCGAAACAGAAAAATCTTGGTTTTCAATTAATAAATATATCTTGCAATTTATTCAGTAAAATTAACATAAGAAAATGATTATGCGTGGTGCTTTTAATGTTTTTAAATCAATATTTAAATTGATTTGAAAGATTAGTAAATGATACACGAACGATGTTTTAATCAGAAAACATATTTAGCTACATTAGACTTACCTCGAAAGTGAATTATCGGTACACTGAATACTGATTTTACTACAAAAAGTGTTTTTAAAAAATGGCTCCTGTGGGTACAATGTGTCCAGATTTAGCTACTGTAATGTATGATTTTGGGATGTAAATTTTGTGAACGAAACCGGTGTGTACAAAGGGTTGTGAATGAGCACTTAAATACGTGTTGGTTGTCGGAGTCGTGAGCACTATATGTCTGAGTGATATCTCAAATATGTATTTTGTCACGTTTGTGCGCGGTACGGTTTCCAAACAGACCTTCCACGGGACAGATGAAGTAGAGTTCATCTTTTAGTTTTAACTTTGGCACTGCAAGAAAAAGTGACGTTTCTTAGCTTCTAGTCCTCCACAGCAATGTATATTGTGACTTACTTATAACGGGTTGGCCTAGCGGTAGAGCGCAAGACTGCTAACCTGAAAGTCTCGGGTTCAAATACATCTCTGAAGGGTACCTAACTCACGTTAGATAAAGTAAAAGGGACTCGGCATAGTGCTGACCATACTATCCCTTTATACGACGAGTCTATAGAAACAGGTGAACTCTACTTCACTTGCCCAATGGACCATCAGGTTTAAAATGGAAACTTTATTTTTTTGTAACGTGTTTTATAATATGTTCTACAATAAGATGGTGTGTAATAGTGTGTTATTATGCATGATAATGTATTGATTGTATGTCCCTATTAACGACAGTGTGTTGTACAGTATGATAGTGTGTAATAGTATGGTATTCTGTACAGTCGTGTGATATTTAATGTGTTCCTATGTACGACAGTATGTTATAGCCAATTATATGTGTGTATCCTGATAGGATAAACTGAATAGCTGCATGTGCTAGTGTGAATATGTGCTACTGTGAATATGTGCTACTGTGTTAAACTATGTATCCTTGGTCATATGTTGTGTATTACATGTAAGTGAATGTGTAATGAGTTCGGTATTACATTTCTGTATGTCCTGATGTGTGTCATATGTTGCATGTTTACCACATATAGTTCTAAGTTCTCATAAAGCAGTGCATGTTACCTGTATGTAGAACGACGGGCCTGCCATGCCAAAAAATTCAGCTCACATACTATAAATAATCTGGTAAAATTTTATTGTTAAATTAACGGTTTCAAAATTATTCCACACAAGTCAAAAATATGTTTTTTAATTTTAATTTTTTTTTATACAATATTTATATCTAATAGCTCAATTTATTTGTTTTGAACAGTAAGTAAACCTTGTTTTTAGTAAAAACAAACTATCTAAAAGTTATTATTGAACAATAAAATAAGAAAAAGTTTATATAAATATGTACATCATTTGTATTCAGAGTTAGTTTAACATAACATTAACGAATAACTTGCATACTTTACAAAGTCCAATTTTTGTCGACCTCAGTATTGCGGGTATAAAGGTTTCCTATGACGTACGCCTATTTTTTAAAATATACCCTGCAATTGTGTTTAAAAAAGAAACTGTATTCCTCAGTATCTAGGTGACTGACGCCTGTGTACGGAAACAGGTTTAAGGGACCAAGCATTGTAACAGGAATTGTTACATGGATTGTGTTACATGCACTGTGACATGGGTTGTGTTACATGCACTGTAAGGCCTTGATTTGAAAGTGACTTGTTACGTGGTTACATTAAAACAGAAATAAGCTATGTATAAATATATATATATATATATATATATATATATATATATATATATATATATATATATATATATATATATATATATATATATAATACGCTATATATAAAAATGCCAGAATTTGTCATTTTACTAATGTAAATTGCTGTTTATTGATGTAATTTGCCAAATAAACTAACGCTTGTATCAATTATTGTGTTTATCTGCTTTTATTGTATTTATCTAATTATTATTATGTTTTTTTCCCATCTATTTCACTCACGTTGACGTTTTTTTGTATAATTAGCCGTCGAGTACCGGGAAATGCACCTGTACTGGGTGAACTACGGGTCACCGAGGTGAGTCGGTGATAGGTTATAATTAACGTCAGCAGATTCTTGGGTTTAAGCTTACGTCACTAGGGTGAGTAAAAACTTAAAGAAAAATAACAGGACTAGGTTGGTTACAGAAATTTTATTTCAACAAAAAACGAAAAAACTTGAAGAGGTTAATTGATGTATAATAAATGAGAGAGTGTGGGATTGGATTGGATAATTGGTGTCGTGTTCTAGCTAAGGTAATAGTTGGCCGCGTCCACTGTCAATATATATATATATATATATATATATATATATATATATATATATAAGGAAATGCAGGGGGCTGGTGACTGGTGTGCATATACTCTAGTGGTCACAAATAGGGGTCAACAAAAGGGGTCAACAACAGGGGTCACCAATGGCTCAACAATAGTGGTTACACAAGGGGTCATACTAAGGGTATTAATGGAGGGGTCACAAAAGAAAGGTCAACAACATGGGTCACATAAAGATCCACCTATACGGGGGTCACTAAACCTGGTTCAGTGGAGACGAGAACACATGAGCTCTATAGCGACACCCCCCCCCCGCCACCCATAATGGAATAATCCAGGGCGCTTCGCTTTACTTTCTCTAAACATTGCACCCTAGAAGATAAATAGTGGAATAAACATATGGTTTTTTTTTTGTTTTTAGTTAAAGTAAAAAATTACTATAACTGTATATTTGAAAATACAGATCAAACGTCTGAATTATATGTAACAACAATGAAATTAATTCTAGCTAACGAAAAACCCATTTGAATCTTCTATATTAATAAAAAGTATTCCAATGATTTGTTGGTGTTTATTACAAATACCTACCACCCACCATTTCACACACATACATACAATCATTACAAAACGAAAATACATTACAATATAACACTAACAATATATATTTGAAATTGTGTAATTTCTCGAATTTTGCAAGAATGTGAAATCTTAATCTAAACAGTTGTTGCTTTTTTGGGTTGAATCTTTTTTAATAAAAAAATGCTTTTTAAATAAAAATAAAAATAAAAAATCACCCGTTGATTTTTGACGGGTTTCAACTAGTAATTTAAAAGTCAATATAGGAAACACAATATAAATTTTTATAAAAAAAACCAACGGACCTAAATAATATGATACAATACGAAATGACGCAGGTTACTATATACTACTAAAGAATGACATTAAATATTAACTGCACACGACTTGAAAACTGCGGGAGGGGGGGGGGGGGAACCTCCACGTAATTGTACGCTCCGGGAAAAACAGCTGGTATTTAAACACAACTAAAATAGATTTAAGCCCCGTTTATTGCAGAATCGTGGTCACGATTACCAGCAAAGCGATACTACGTTTAAAAAAAATAATGCACATACTTCGTTTTTAGTACCTGCGCGGAAAATTCTCGAAATCGAAGTTTCCTGTGTGGATCGAAAACGTATCAAATTATCTGAATTACTACTCGCTGTTCGTGACGGTTGGTTCGGAGATAATAGGCAATTTATAGACGGGTAGGCTGCTAGTTTTTGCACTTTAGTCGTGTAAGTGTCAAGCGTCGTGCCGTTTCGTCTAATTTTTTTTTTTAAAGTTTGACCTTTAGGTGAAGAAGGATAGACGATGGTGAAGGAGTTTAGGCTATGGTCAAAGGTCAAGGTGGGTGGTGGGTCGAATTGTAGATAGGTATAGGTAACAGCTATTAAATAGGGATGTTAAAATGAAATTTAAGGGGATAAGCAGCGGTTAGGTTAATTTTTATAGGTTAAAAGATGGACGTAGGTCGGGGTATTTATTGTCAGAAATGATAAGGTGGGGGTAAGTAGGTTAATTGTTATAATAAATACAGAGACGGGTATAGCTTAGGTTAATTTTATGCAAGTTATAAGATGGGTATTAGGCCAAAAGAATAATGTCAATAAGTATATTAGGGCATATAGGTTAGGTTGATTGCTATAATAAATTTTAAGATAGGCATGGATTCATGTAAATTTTTTTGGAAATGATCAAATTGGCATATGCCATTGTTTGATATGGGTGAAATAATTGATGATTGGCATATGCCCTTTTCGGCAATGGTGAGATAAGTGATAAGATTAGCATATGCCATTGTTAGGGATGGGTGAGAGAAATATTAAGATTGGGAGAGAGAAGATATTTTACCTATATAGTCCAGGTACTCTTGAGAGCTGAGCGAACTCAGCGATCACACAAAGACTGATGGCACCGTTGAGTGCCGTAAACATAGGCTAGGGTTCTACAAACTCATCACGTGATCTCTCAAACAACCGCCCGTGCATGCATCCAGTGGTACATATGTGACACAACAGGTGAGCAGAATCGTTAAGAACACCGTGACACAGGTGAGCAGAATCGTTAAGAACACCTGGACATAGGTGAACAGAATCGTTAAGAACACATGGGCATAGGTGAGCAGAATCGTTAAGAACACCTGGACATAGGTGAGCAGAATCGTTAAGAACACCTGGACATAGGTGAGTAGAATAGTTAAGAACACCTGGACATAGGTGAGTAGAATAGTTAAGAACACCTGGACATAGGTGAGTAGAATAGTTAAGAACACCTGGACATAGGTGAGTAGAATCGTTAAGAACACCCTGACATAGGTGAGCAGAATAGTTAAGTACACCTTGACATAGGTGTTTGCAATGTCCTTCAATGAAATACAGAGAATAA